CCTTGCAGGAGCCAGAATCTCTCAGAGGTCAGTCCTCCCCACTGGGTCTAATGAACAGTAGGAATCTCACCTCCCTCTGACCGAGAGAACACCACATGCCAGGTATTGGTTAAGGAGTCAACCTATTAAATCCTGTCGCTACCCTATTAGATTGAGCGTCATTATTATTCCCATTTTTACAGATGAGGGAACTGAGGCATGGACACATTACATGACTTTCCAGTTACACAGCAAGAACAGAACTGGGGCTTGGCTGGGACTTGACCCCCTGTTCAGCTCCCAGCACTGGAGATTTGAAGACAGGCTATCCTTGGGTTATCCTGTCTCTCGTCTGGAAAGCTCTGGGTTTTTCAGAACAAGGTGCAGAGGGAACCTTCACTGACTTTATCTCATTTTCCCCTGAAAAGTGAGGTCAGAAAAAGAGCACCAGTGGCACGTGGTGGAAGGGACAGTGACACATGCCTGTCTGCTCACTGAGGTCAGCAGCTCCAGGCTGAATCACCTCAATTCTCAGTGAACGTACAGATGCAAAAATGATGCCCAGACCAAAAGCTGCCGCTTAGGAGATAAATGTATGAGGAACAAAGTAGAGAACACGATTGGTCTTTTGCTTTTCAGGAGGGTTTCCCTTGTGTCTGGCAAACACAAGAGCAGATTCAGCCTCACTGACAACAGAGTTAGCCAGCGGACATCCGTGTGCAATGTAAGACTGGGGGTGTCGCCATATGTGAAAACCGTCAGGATCCTACTCCAGTGTGGCTTTTGTGTTCTTTCTAAACTTACTTCAATTAGGAAAATAATCCAACCTGAAGCAAACAAAATCCAGTTCCTTTAGCTTTAAAAAAATTAAGCACATCCTCACTGTCACACACTGGAGTGAAACGTCCAGCCACTACCCTGACCTTCATTGGCAGAGGGGGGTCAGGTTTTCGGTTGGTCATTGTCTATTCAGAGGGGCAGGAGGAGTGCCCTGTGGCCCAAGTGTCTGGGGAAGGGCTTGCTGGAGGGAGCTCTGTGGGGAGTGAGGAGGGTGAATTGAGAGGCTGGGAGAACCACCGTTTGGACGCAACCTGCTTGGGATGGGCAGGGTCTGTGTCCCCGGGGGCTGAGCCTGCCTCTCCTGTCCACGGACTCAAAGCAGAAGCAGCCTGTCTGAGAGGCAGGACCTCTCAGCTCCCGCCCAGCTCTGACACTTCTTCTATGCCGTCGGGCAAGTCTTGTTCCTTCTCTGACCCTCAGTTTCCCCCTATAAAAGCAGGGCCGGACTAGCCATGTTCTCGGTGCCCTCAGCTCTGGGTCAGGGCCCCTCTGCCCCTCCCACCCTCCCTGCAGTCTCAGGGCAGCTTCAGACACCAAGGAGCAGCGCTTGGAGATAAAGAAAGACTCGCTGAGTAAACAAAGAGCTTCAGAGTCCTGGTTCCCGAACTGTCGGGAGCCAGCCTGGGAGGCTTGTGTCACCGGGGAGAATGCCCCAAGTCCCTTTCTTTGGCCATATAAGGGAAAAGGAGAACAGAGTCTCACTGACACAGGTTACAGGCACCAGGGCCGAGCGGAGAGCTGCAGCCTCTGAAGACCTGGTGCCTAACCAAGAATGAGGAATAAATCAAATGCCACTCACCACCTCCTTTTGGTCACACTCCGCAACAGCCTACAGGCTGGGTCACCCAGTGAGAGCCAGTCACCATGCCCAGGCCTCCTCCGATGCCCCGTGAGAGGCACGGGTGGCCTTCCCCGGAGCCTGGGCGGCAGAGTCCCCTTCCCAAGACTGGCCTCCTCCCCGTCCTCCTCCTCCTGCCCTGGCAAACCCCATTCTGTCCCAGACTCCAGACAGACAGGAGCACCTCCCCACAGGCCCCTCATCCAGGAGGTCACAGTACCCCCTGTGGTCTCCTAGGCCCTCCCCCCTGCTCCCAGCCCTCCCCCACCCAGCAGGGGACCGTGTTCCCAGAGCACAACTCTGACTGGTGCAGGTGCAGTCCACAACCCATCTTCCCCAACTTGCCAATCCAGAGCCTCTTAGACTCCCGGCTCCATTTCTGGCCTTCCTCTGGAGTATCATTAATCATGTTGGGATGGGGTCCTCTCTTCTTTCTCTTTGTTTATGTGGTCCCCAGAACCCGAGATGCTAGGGCCTCTATTTCATCCTCTGAGATACTGTCCACCCTACAGGTTTTTCTCAAACTCCACCTCCTCCAAGAAGCCCTCCCTGATGCCTGTTCCTGACTGAGACTGCTCGTACCCGAGGACCTCAGAGCCCATGTCCATGGCTTGCTGGAGCACCGCATTTGAGGACCCTACCTGCACTTGTGTGTCTTCCTATGCAGCACAGAATCCCTGGGGGGGGGCAGGGCTGGAGCGGAGCCCAGCACAGCTCTGGGGTGCAGCTGACGCTGACCAAATGCTGAGATGAACCAAAAGAGAGGCTCCCAGGATGCGGGAGTAAGTGGTGAGAACGCTCTGGCCTCACACCAAGGGAAAGGGACAGGTGAGGAAGGCCAAGCGCGGTCCCCGCGAAACTGCAGTAGGGTTCAAGAGCCCAGACAGGCAGAGCTCACGGACTTCGGAGTCACACAGACCTGGGTTTGGATCTTGATTCTGCCACCGACTTACTGTACGGCCACAGGCAGGTCACAGAGCCTGCACGGGCCTGTTTCCTCAGCTGCAATACTAGGACGGGTTGCAATACTGAGTTTCAGTCTGTTTGAGCCTTCAGTGATGCAATGGACTCAGGGGACCTGCTCAGGAAATCAGCTCAGAATGACGTGCAAACTCCGAGATAACTTTTGGAGTAATTACAAAGGTTAACGACTGCCTCGTTTACATCTGCCATTTCCTCAGAAGTGGGGATTCTTACTAGCCCCCTTTATAAGCCAGGTACTGCGGCTCAGAGAGGCCATCACCCTTGCACCTGGGGTTCGGGCAGGGTGAGGGTGACGTCCTGCAGGCTCCATCTCTGGGCCCCGGGAGCAGAGTAGTGAGAAGGAAGGTGGGCAGCTCCTAGGTTTCAGCACACGCTGGGTAGGCCCTAACTCGCTGCAGGGCCAGGCTTGAAGTCACATGACCAGCCAATCCCAGGGCCTGGTCCAGGGCAGCTGCCAAGCCTGCCTCCAATAAAGCAGGGTCAGCAGTGGCCAAAGGAGGGACATAAAAGGTGGGGTGGGGAGGAGCTGGGCCGGGCAAGGCGGCAGCAGCAAGGCCACTGGCATCTGGGACACATGAGGGGTCGGGTGCAGCAAGTTCATACGACAGGGCCGCTGCAGGCTCATGTGGCCTTTTCATGTGAACTAGAGAACGAGGGCCCTCTCTGCTGAACAAAGCTCCATACCGAGTCTTAAGGAGGAGCATGTGGGTTGGATGCAGGCCCCTGCCACCCCACCCCACAGGGAACAGCACGCACAGCCCTCGAAGCAGCCCTGCATGGCCAGCACGACTGTGGGGCCGAGTTCTCAGCTCGCCAGGGAGACATGGAGGTGACTCAGACCCAGCACCGGCTTCCAGGAACCTTGCAGGCTGGTCAAGGGCCTGGGAAAACCTGGGAGGGAGCTCCTGACTCGCTCTGGGGTCCAGTTTCCACAGTGTGAACATTCCCACCAGGGGCCGTTGCAAGGGACCAATGTGCCAGCCCTGAAGGGGAGCTGGGAAGAGACGCCCTTGACCGGCTCCACACGAGCTGGTCCAGGCCGGCCCGGAACTCCACAGGGGCTCAGACCAGGTCCAGCGGAATGCAGAGGAAGAGGAGGAGTTCCCCGGGCAGAGAGGTGGTAGGGCCAGTGGGAGGGAAGAGCAAGAGCAGAGACATGGAGGCATGAAAGGAAGTAGGGGCAAGCCGTGAAGTGCTGTGAAGGGTTCTGACGGACAAGGGACCCAGAAGTCTCCTGGAAGCTGGTAATGTTTTAGTTCCTGACCTGAACAGGGGTTACAAGCCCAGTGTGATTCGTTAAACTGTATATTTAAGTCTTACGCACTTTTCTGTATGCTTATATTTTACAATAAAGAAAACGATTTCATTCAGGGATAACTGCTATTTACGACTGTTCTATTTCCTTCCGATCTTTTTCTTCTGCATATATTTTTATGACCATTGAGCAAAAATGTTCATGTAGGAAAAAATAAGTTCCTTATCCACACACCATAAAGAAGAAGGCATTTCAACCTTGGAAACCACGTGGTGTGATGAAAGGGGTGTGGGATTTGGAGTCAGAGATCTGTATTCAAATCGTGCCTCCTAAGGCACGAATGTGGAGGCCCTGAGAAAGCTTGTCCTTGCCTCTCTGAGCTGTTTGCTCCTCTGCAGACCGGGAGAGGTGACACCCACATCCTGCAGGGCCATCCGGGAAACCAGAGACGACATGTGTCGGGGACATGGCACAGAGCCTAGCCCACGCAGACTCTCAACACACGTAACATACAAGATATCTTACATGCAAGGCATTGTTACTGGCATTGCTTTAAAAGTCAAAACTAAAGAAGGTGCCCTGAAAAATAAATGATAGTCACAGAAGTTATAGAGCAACAGTAACCTCATAGGGATAAAGACAAACTAGAATTTGCCCAGAGAATAACCCCTGTGATTATTCTGCAAGGAGACACAAAAATCCATGGTGTGTGGGGGGAGGGGTGGTAATGGAAGAAAATGGGGTGTTTAGCCTGGTTTATCAGATCTGTGCAACAGATGTGTCCTGTGTGCAGCACACAACAGAATTAAGCCCAACCAACAGGACTTACAGGGAGCCAATTTTCACTAGATGTAAGAAAGGATAGTCTCACTAATACTAGACAGGTAAGGAGTGAACCCCCCATCACTAGGGGCACACAAGCAAAAGCTGCAAGAGCACTTGGTGGGAATGAAGAAGGAAGGTGTGCATGGTGGAGGCCCCTGGAAGCTGGGCTCTGGAGCTTTTATAATCAGCAGCATCCACTCGGTCCGGCAGCATTCAGGCAACTGCAGAACGATCAGGGTCACAAAGTGAAGGGCATGTGGAGGCCCTTGCTCATCCTACCTGGTTATCGATTTTCAGCTCCACCAGAGAAGTGTTGTGTGGAAGGGCTTCCACCAGGCGCAGGATCCCGGCTCCAGAAATGAAGTTGGACTCCACGTTCAGTGTCTTCAACACCTTGTTCTCCTTGAGCATATCAGCAAGTGCCTTGAGCCACAGGGGAAAATTGAGGGTATCTATGAGTCACCCTGAGCAAGGCTGGAGCCCATCTTGAGTAAAACCTAAAATACTGAGGGACACTGGCTGGGAGCAAAAGTCTTTTGTACATGTGTGCTATTCGAGCCAGGGACGAAGCGAGACGGTCCCCTCAACTCCCTTCACCAAGCAGAGCTCTGTGTCTCTCCTCCCCTCCAATCTGCCCTGGCTCCTGAACCCCTACCAGGTTATTCTGCGCTCCTTAGCCCGCATCCAAAGCCTCTGATGGCTGCAGGTTCTACTCTCCTGATTAGCCCCAACTCTCTCTGCTCCCTGATGGTGGGGCTCCTCCCAGTTCCCCGTGCCCCCCACTGCTTAGCCGTTGCTCACCCTGCCCCTGCCACCTGGAATGCCCTTTCCTGCCTGCTGTGCCCACCCAAACCCTGCCTGTCCTTAAGGGCCATCCTCAACGCCCCTTCCTCCGAGAGCCTTTGCTGATGCTCCCAGTGAGCTGTGGCCTGTCTTCCTGAACCTCATAGAATTTCTCCATAGCCTCCCTCGTGGAACATGTACTCCCTGGTTTAGATCGCTTCTCATACAGATGTCTCTGCCCTTAGACTATTTACCCTGGGTGGGCTGAAAATGCACCTGATTCATTGCATGGTGCCCACAGTGCTCAGCACATAGTAGGTCCTCAGTCACTGTTCACTAAGTGACTAGTGGAGTCCCAGCCTCCCTAAATATTCTCGCTTGTCTCTTCTCCTTTCCTGTTGGAATTTCATGGAGTCGTTCTCTTGGTTGGAGCAGCAGAGAACAGAGAGGGAGGCCTGGGAAACCACCCCACCGGGCAAGAGACCAGGGCAAGTGGGAGGAGAGGCGCTCAGGTAGCCCCGGCACGTTTGGGAGGAGTTCAGCCAGGGGGTGTAGATGGCAATCGGAGCTTCTGGAGGAAAGGAAGTAATTAGCAGTTGGTGGAAACAGGGCGCCATGGCGGAAAGGGGACACCGGCAGCTGACGGACCAGGACGTACAACCTGGGGCCCTGCTGTCTGAGCCAGGAACGCCCTCCCACCGTCCCTGCTGGCGGACACCCGACAGAAGGCGCCCTTCACAGGAAGCCTTCCTGACGGACCCCACCACTCCCTCCTCAGCTCGCCTTGCTGTGTACCCCCAGGATGGCAGGCCAGCTCTAACTGTGACCCTGAGTAGCTGTACCCTCCTGAGGGGAGGGACCCAGTCTGCGTTCTCTCCACCACAAACTTCTTGCTCCCCAGGGAAGGCCTGCCCGAGCCTGATAATCGAAATATTTAACAAGCAGTGGGCAAGTCCACCAGGCTGACCTGAGTAGACACGCCGGTGGCGGAACGGGTCCGAGAGGCTCCGTCATACCCGGTGGCCACTGTGTTTGCTGGGGCAGAGTGGAGGACCTGGGGGTGGGCTGGGCAGGAGAGGAGCTGGGGCAGGCAGCGGGGTGCACGCAGAGGTCCGGCAGCCTTATTTACCAACCGGCCCAGAGCATTTCAACGTCTGACAACGGGAATACTGGTGTGAACGGACTGACATCAGCAGTTGGCCGGGCACAGGGTCAATGTCCCGTAAACACATGTGGAGCTGAGCCGAATGCCAGCACTGACATGTGTGGTTTCTGATCCACGACACAGCAGGGCACTGAGCATGCGGCTTTGCCAGCCACATCCATGGGTGAACTCGGGATCCACTGGGGATCTCCTGAGGTTAGAGGTCATCCATCCAGGAGCAATGAGGGACTCTCAGCCATTTCTATCATTTTGAAAGTATCAGAGGAAACTGTCCTACCTATTTTCAAAACTCAAGGAGAACTGTTTGCTATTAAATAGACTTCCAAGCAAGGAAAGTTATCAGGGATAAAGAAGGGCGTTACATAATGGTAAAGCGACCAATTTCTCCAAGAAGATGTAACAATCCTTTATGTATGCGCTCCTAACAGCAGAGCATCAAACTGCGTGAGGAAAACTAATAGAACAGCAAAGAGAAAGAGGTGACTCTACTACTAGAGTTAGAGATTTCAGTATCACTCTGTCAGAAATGGACAGATCCAGCAGGTTGAAAATCGTTAAGGATACACCTCAATTCCATGGCGCCGTCAGGCAACTGGATGTAAGTGGCATCCACGGACTACTTCCCCCAACGACAGCAGAATACACATTCTTGTCAAGATCGCTTAGAATATTGATCAAGGTCGACCCCATTCTGGGTCATGAAACACGCCTTCATAAATTTACGAGAGCAAAAATCATACAATGCCTACTGTCAGACTTCAGTGGGATAAAACTAGAAATCAGTAGCAGAAAGATAACTGGAAAATCTCAAGATATGTAGAGATTCAACAACACATTTCTAAATAACATATGGGTCAGAGAAGAAATCACAAGAGAAGTTGAAAGGTATTTTGAGTGAAATGAAAATGAAAACATAATTTGTGAAAATGTGCGGGATGCAGCAAAAGTAGAGCTTAGTTAGAGCAGGGGCGTCAAACTCATGTTCACCGGGCACCACATGAGCCTCGCGGCTGCCTTCAAAGGGCCAAACAGCAAGGCTGATGTGGCCCCTGGTGAACATGAGTTTGACACCCTGGCTTAGAGGGAAATTTATGACACCGAATGCATATATCAGAAAATAAGAAAGATCTAAAAACAACAAGTGTCCATCTTCAGGAAATAAAAAAAGAAGAGCAAATCAGATCCAAAGTAAACAGAAGAAAATAAACAATAAGAATTAGAGAAGAAATCAATGAAATTGAAAACAGGAAATCAACAGAGAAAATCAATGAAGCCAAGCTGTTCTTTTTTTTTTAAGACCAGTAAAATCCACAAGACTCTAGCCAGGCTAAGAAGAAGAGGAGAGGACACAAACTACTAATATCAGAAGTGAAAAAAGAATATCACTAAGATCCCATGGAAATCAAATAGATAATAAGGGAATATTGTAAACAACTCTTATATCTTTACGAAATGGACCAACTGGTTGCAAGACAATTTTCCAAACTTCATTTAAGAAGAAGTATGCTATTTGGTTAGCTCTTTATCTCTTAAAGAAATTGAATCAATAGTTAGTTAATAGTCTTCCAAAACAGAAAGTACCAGGCCTAGATGGGTTCACTGATGAATTCTACCAAATATTTAAGGAAGAAATTCTCTTTCTTCCTTTTCTCTTTCAGAAGACAGAATACCAATTCTCTTTCAGAAGACAGAAGTGGAGGAAATACTTCTTCACTCATTGTTTAAGGTCTGTAACATCTTAACTCAAAACCAGAGTAAAACATCTTAAGAAAATGACAGACCAATATCTCTCATGAACACAGATGCAAAAATCCTCAAAAAATGGCAAATCCAGCAGTATACAAAAAACAGTTACACACCATGACCAAGTGAGATTTATCCCAGGTCTGTAAGGCTGGTTCAACATTAGAAAAATCAATATAATCCATCACATCAACAGAAGAAAAAGCACATGATTATATCAATAAATGTAGAAAAAAGCATGTGATGATACCTAACACACATTCATGATTAAAAACTCTCAGTAAACTAGGCATTGAGGAAAACTTCATCATCTTGGTAAAGAATATCTACAAAAACCCTATAGTTAACATCATACTTAATGGTAAGAACTTGAAACTTTACTACTAATATCAGGTACAAGGTAAGGATGTCCCTTCTCACCACTCTCCTTTAACATATAGCTGATGCAATAAGACAGGAAAAGAAAATAGAAGGTATACAGAATGGGAAGGAAGAAAGGAAACTGCATTTGTTTATAGATGACATACTTTTTATGGAAAAGACTTGAAAGAACTGACCCCAAAGAACTAATAAGTGATTATAAGAAGGTTGCAGGATACCTGGTTAATATACAAAGGCCAATCACTTTCTTTTACACCAACAATGGACAACTGGAAATTTGAAATAAAAAACACAATACTATGTACATCACCACCTTCAACATGAAATATTTAGGTTTAAAGCTAACAAAATATGTATAAGATCTACATGACAAACACCACAAAACTCTGATGAACAAAATTGAAGAACTAAATAAATGGGGAGATAGTACATGTTCATGGATAAAAAGACTCAATGTTGTCAAGATGTCAGTTCCTCCCAACTGGATCTGTAGGTTCAATGCCATCCCACTCAAAATCCCAGGAGATTACTTTGTGCGCACTGACAAACCGATTGTCACTAAGTCGTCAGTTACCACCCCTGGTAAGCGAGTCCTGCACCTTTTACTCACTATTAGTGTGCAGCGATCAACTGCACTGTTTTTAGTTGTCCACATGGCCAAACGGACCGTGAGCCCGTGGAAGTGGAGCTATGACTGCCTTGGGTGCGGTTCTGTTCCCAGAGCCTAATTCACTGCTGGACACAGAGAGACTCTTAATAAATGTGTGTTAAGTGTTTAAAAAGAAAAAAAATGATTGATGGCTACTTTAGATGAAGTACAATTTAATTTGAACAGTAATATTTTAAAGATGTGAAAAAAAACCAAATAAAATTAGTCGTCAGGACCCGCTGGTGAAGGCAATGCTTTCTGATATAGAGAAATTGAGGCCCAGTGTGGGAAAGCCTTCTCCAAACATGACATGCTGAATGCACAGAGAGCCGGTTCCAGGGTCCGCGTGACTTGCATTTAAACCTCAGCTTCACCTCCTATACTTGCTCTGCAACTTTGGACAAAGCAAGTGCCCTGAGCTCCCTGCATCCCAGGCTCTTCATCTGCAAAGTGGGAAGACCTGCACTTCTGGGATCAGGGGTGGCCGTGGAGATTTAGGAGGATGATGTACAGATGGTGCCTGGTAACAACCATTCCATCCCTACCCTGTCCTGGCTCCAGCCCAGTGCCTTTCACCACATCAAGCTAGGTTCCTCATCAGTGGAATTGGCCAGTCTGAGGCCACAGCACTTCCAAGGCCAACCCTTCTTTTTATATGCCACCCGCCACCACCAATACACCAGAACACAAAAGTACATACAAATGCCACAGGGTCATTGCTGCGTGTCCCCACAATGCTGAACTTCTTCACATAGGAGTTGTCTTTCAGGGCTTCTGCATATGCCTTGAGGGTGGGTATGGGGATATTCTGCAGAAAGAAAGGCAGGCAGTGACCAGCAGCCCCTTCTGGGGGCAGGGTGGGAGACAGATGGGGGCTAATGCTTTCACACAGGCAGCCTGATTGTAGCAAGTCTCTGACGGAAAAGAGAAATGGGTGAAGGATTCTGGCTTTGCTCCAAATGGTTGGGATTTGGGGAGAACTTTCTGGCAGGTGCAGTGAGAAAATGCTCCCTGAAATTTCAGACGGGACTCACAACCCCCTCCTTGTGCACACAGAGGCCAGAGAGGAGGCAAAGTCAAGGCCGTGGATGCAGAGGAGCATTGTGCCAAGAACTGGGGCCTGGGGCTATGGGGGTGGGCAGAGCTTCATCTCTGCCCCCGCAACTGGCAGTGTTTGATCTGCTCTGTGACTCTGGGGGGATCTCTTCCCTTCCCTGGGCCTGTTTCTGGGAAACAGGGGTGGGCCAGGGGGTTGCACTGGATGATCTTTAAGAGACATCTGTGCCTGAGGGTCTCAGCCTGGCAGCACGTAACAGGTTCCTGGGTTACTTTTACAAAATGCTGATCCTTGGGCCTGCTCCAGACCCGCAGAATCAGAATCTCGGGCTGGGGAAGATCTAGGCACTGGTGCTTATTTTTTAATTCCTCAGATGAGATACAATGATGTAGTCCAACTGCCTAAGGTACAGAGGATAAACTGAGGCCCAGCAAGGGCGAGCCCTGGTTGAGGCCCCACAGCCCATGTCCCCCACGCCGGCACCCACTGCCAGGGTGCGTGGTTCTGAATGGTGCCGGCATCTCCCTCTGGGCACAAGGCAGACAATGGAGGCACCTGAGAGGGACCCTGGCTGTGTTTTAATGGATCTCTCGTTTCACAGCGTCACTTTAGCTCCCCATGGGAACAGAGCACGGGAGGCCAGGTGGCAGAGAACACTTCAGACGCAGGTTTCCAATCTGATTGTGTTGTGGGGCTGGCAGTCACTTAAGAGAAAGTGGAGAAGAAGGGAAAGAGGAGCCAGGGAGTGAGGGGCCTGCTGCTTGTGTTACTTCCACCCCCTCCCGGAACCAATCCCACTGGCCTCCGGGCCGAGCAGGTGGGCAGGCAGCTGGGCTGCTTCTGAACGCCTCCTGCTGCCTATCCAGCGTAGGACTGCCTGTCCATCTGTCCTTCCTCTGCCCTGGGTGGTCACCCAGGAAGTGTCCAGGGAGATATGGCCTGCAGCTTAGAGTACATCTTCAGATATCTGGGCTGACAGCTCCCCTCCAGGGCTGTAGGACGAGGCTGAATACGTGCGTGATTCGGCAGCCGTAGTGGGTCAGGGGTGGCCCTGCCAGGGCATGGGTTATCCATGAGCCTGGTGGGCACTGGGCTTTCCAGCCTTGAGATCCCCAGCAGCCCTGTGTGTGTGACTCACGATCTTATCTCCAGCTCTGTGTTTGAGTTACATGGCGAGTTTCCCGAGCTGAAGCTGGGTTGGCGGGGGGTGGGGGTGAACATCTGGGGCTGCTGTCAGACCTCTGACAGAAACCAGGGCGGCGGGGTGTGCTTGTTTACGCTGTCACCCCCTCGGAAAGACTGTGCCCTATTCCTGATCCAGAAGCACCCGGAGCCCAAACAGGCCCCTGCCATCTCCGTGCAGCTCAGCCTGGCCGCCTGCGGGGGGGGGGGGGGGCACGGCTCCCCGGGGAGGGGAGGGAGGGGACGGGGCTCACCCGGATGTTGTTGAGGTTCACCTCCTCGAGTTCTGGGTCGTTTCTCTTCACCCGCTCTAACGTTTCCTCCACATCGGTCGAGTTGGGCTCTTCGTCGGGCACAGGCTTGTATTGTGTTGGTTTAATCACACCTAGAGTGACCCACGAAAGGGAGGTGGCTCACAGAAACACGGGGACCCCGTTTGCTCAACCCAAGCACACTCGGGAAGGAAGTGGTGGCAGAGTTCAGGGACATGTGGGGAGGGTGTGGCCCTGCGTGGACTCTGGCTGCGATGTCCTGCACGAACTAGGTGACTCTCTTAAACTCTCTGAACCTTGACGTCCTCATCTTGTAGCCTGTGAACAGGGCTCTTTTGAGGACGGAAGGAAGCCTGGATGGGAAAGAAATAGGTAAGCCTTCCGGGGGGAGGCTAGGGATTCTTTTGGCACCCCCTCTTGGGGCCAAAATGCCAGCTCGGAGCGGGGTGCCCGAGCAAGTCAGACAATGCAATGTTGGCACAGGAAAAGACAAGGAGACTCACAGAACAAGGAGAGGCCCCCGGGACAGCCCGTGTGGGTGCAGGGAAGTTCACGGGCAACGTGGAGCCCAAGCCGGTGGTGAAAAGACACGCTTTGCAAAGAATGGCGTTGGGACCATGAAATATCCATTAAAAAATGGAAACTTGATCTCATCTACACCACACAGACACAAACTCAAGGTGGATTAACAAGGTGCATCTAAGAAGTGAACCTCTACAGCTTTTAGAAGAAAAGATAGGAGGCCGTTTTACTAATGCTGGGATGAAGAGGGCCTTTGTAAACAAGACATAAATCCCAGGACAGGGAAAGGAAAAGGTGGCTAGATTTGGCCACATAAAATGTACACGTTCTGCCACGAGCTAGAGACCACGAGTGGGAGGCAGCGAGAAGCGGGGTTGCTTCACTTCCGAGGTGTCCTTGCGGGGGGCGGGGGCCCAGTGTACTCACTGTTGAGTCCCTCCTTGTTCACGATGGAGCTGCTGCCCAAGGCCTGGTAGTACTGCTGGTTGCTCATGAGCGTGTGCATGCCCAGGATAGCTGCGGGGACAGGCAGGGGCTCAGGACTCGGCCCTCTCAGGGGGAAGGGCCCCCCCCACCAGGCATGGACATTGCACTCCCTCCAAATGTGTGCTCCCAGAAATGGCAAGAAACACTTGCATGAAAACTTTCAAATTTTCTTTGCTTCTATCTACATGAATGTCAAGTCTCTCTCACTGGCCTAGACTTCTGTAGTCCTCAGCCTCAGATTCCTAGGTGTCCCCTGATGTACCACTGGCACAGCCAACCAGACTTGGCCCAAACGGAGCTCACCTTCCCCAGCAACAGCCTCTTTCTGTGGATCTCCTTCCCTCCTGTCACCCTGCCTGTCCCTCAGGCTAGAGCCTCACTCACAGGGCATCTTCACCAAGTCCCCACCCTTCTAAACCGCACCTCTTGTCTGTCCCCCCTCCCTCTCCATCACCTCCTTCTTGGTCGAGGCCCTGTCATGTCTTGGTGGTACTGTCACGGCTGTATAGTCGCCGATGTCCTAGTCCTACCCCCATCATTCAGTACAAAGCAGCCAGAGAGATCGTCCTGGAAATGTAGATCTGACCACCTCACACCTGTGCCCAGTCATGCTTCCATCCATTCATTTACTTAACATTTACTGAGCGCCGACATCATGTGTCCAGGGCCGAGGGGGACAGTGGGGAACGACAAAGACAGGATCCCTGCCCGTGCAGCTGGCTTGCAGTCTGCTGGGGGACAGGGCTGCTGAGCAGGTACCCACGCAGTTAGAAATGTAGGCACAGAGTGTATTTTGTGTGTGAAGGAAAAGCTCCATGTGCTTGGGGAGAAGGGAGCAGAAGGACTTGGATGGGAGTGGTGAGTAGGGGCTGGCCAAGTTAAGAGAAGGGAGGCAGAACACCCTGGAGAGAGAATGGCGGTGGGAAAGCCCTAGGCCAAGGGAGTGGAAGGCAGGGTCAGGGAGCCGGGAGATGGGCGGAGGCGAAGCCGGACACATGGTGGACGGCACAACAGCCCGCTCACCAAGCCGCTCGCCCTGGGCCGGGGAATCTGCTGCACACCAGTGACTCCCATGCGGTTGTGTGCTGGGGTCACTGGGGAATCTTCAGACACTCCTGCCACCCAGGCCTCCCCAGACCAATTAAACCACAATCTCTGGGGCTGGGGCCAAGGTAGCTGCCTTTTTTAAAGCTCCCAGGTGGTTTCAGTGGGCAGTCAGGGTGGGGACACTGTGCCCGAGTCCTCGCAATGACCCTTGGGAGTAGATTTTATTCAGACAGTCCACGTCGGATCCTGCAGGGTCTCAAGGTCCAGGAAAGGAGTTTGGACATCTTTTTCTAGGTGCAGCCTGAGAAGCCGTGGAAGGCCTGAGCAGGGCGTGGGCTGGTGTGATCCAGTTCTGTGAGGGTTGCTCCGGCTGCCAGGAGAACTGACTACGGGGGGGAGACAGCACCTGGGGGGACCGTGAGGCCGTGGCAGCCATCGGGGTGAGTGGTCGGTGGCCTGTGACCCCAGAGTTTCACTGGCCCTCCCTGGGCTGGCCCTGCTTCAACAGCCTCGTCCCTCCCCTACACCCTTTCCACTCCGGGGGCACAAACTGTCACTGCTCAGTGCATCCCCTGCTTCTGCCAGTGCCGTCCCCTCTGCTGGCGGCTCTCGCCTCACTTGCAGCGCCCCCTGTCGAAACGCCTCCCGTCATGTTGCCCTATTTGGCACATAAAATTAAAGACACCCAGTTAAATTGGAATTTCGGATAAACAATGAAAAATGTTTTAGTATAAGTAGGTCTCAGTCAGTGTTAAAAACTTACCCATTGTTTATCTGAAATTCAACTCCAACCGAGCATCCTGTATGTGACCTAATACTTCTATCCCTCAAGACTCAGAGCAACACTTCCTCCCCAGGGAGTCTGCCTGCGTGTCCCCCCCCCCCACCACCACCCTGCTGGTTCGCCCGCAGCACCTGGTGCCCTTGTTGCAGGACGTAGCCTACACGGGGTTGGGGACGTCTGGGTGCGTGCGTGCTTCCACTACCAGACTATGGACGTCCGGGGGCCAGGAAAGAACGTCATCTCTCTTTTCCTCTACCTCTTCCAGAACACAGTAAGCTTTGGTAAATACTATTTGCTGATGATTTTTTAATTCCTCTAGCCGTTTCATTAGACATGGCTTCTAGTTAGAGAGAGAACACCAGAGCTCTTAGGGAAGAGTCAGGAAGGAGAAGGCTGGTCCTGACCGTGCCCCCAGCGCTGTGCGAGCTTGGGCAGGGTCCTTCCTCTCCAAGCTTCCTCCTCCTCTGTCCGGCGAGGGGTTGAGACAAGATCAGGGCTGAGCATAGGATTCACCTGGGAACATTGAGAAACTGCCCAGGCTCCACCCTTGAACAACCAATCCGAATTTCTGGAGGTATATTTTTTAATCTCCTTGGATGATTTCGATGATCAGTGGGAGCTGAGAACCACAAGAGGAGATGATCTCAAAGTCCCTTCTGTTTCTCACATTCTAAGAGTCTTCTCTGCTAAAATTAGACCTGCCCGCTCATCGCTAAGGAGAACTGCTAGGGAAAGAGGCATTGCCTCTTTATAAGCTCGCTCATTTAATTTAGGCCACGGCTACGTGGGCAGTGGGAGCCGAGGACTGAGTCAGCGGCAGGTGGATCAGATCATGGCGCATCACCTTCTAGGGCTGCCTCCTCCAGCCCCCACACGCGGAGCAGCTCGCGGTGCTTCTGGGCTGCTGCTGGGAGTGCAGGTTTGGAAGCGCGGTTTGGAAAGGTTGCTGGGAATCCCAGGAAATGTGTGATCTCGAGTGGCTGGCTGGTCTTGCTTCGAGTGTACAGAGAGGTGAAAAATGCAAAATACATTTTGGGCTCAGACGAAAGCTTCCTGTAACAGTCCAGAAAGCGGGGGATGGGGGGAGCAGAGGCATGATTGCAGAAAGTGCCAGGGGACAGAGGAAGGGGACCTGGGCTCCAGTCTGGCTTTGGTCCTCATTTGCTGGGTAACCCTGTCCAGGTCACTCCTGCCCTTTGGGCCTCAGTTTGCGCACCTGTATAATGGGGTGCATCTGAACACTGACCTCAAACCTTCACAAAGGACTTAACAGCCACACCACGGCTCATCTTTTCAAACCCTGTTTGATTTTTTTAACCAGCTTCCAGGGCCGGTGCTGTTGACCCTCTGACTTTTCCAGCAGGCTCGGAGGGAAACTGTTTGGGAAAGACCATCTGGTGAGGACTCTCTAGCTTCGAAGTTAGTATCCCAAACGCTCCTCCACACACTAGGTCACCAGCGGTCCTGAAGTTGTCAAACTTCCCCTCTACTTCAGAACTCTAAAAACAGATAACATGTACCCTGGGAGGTAATATCAATAGCAGGCCTAAGGAGAAAAAAAAAAACATTCTGCAGCTCTGAGGAAATTAGGAAGGAAACTAGAAAGAAGGAAGGACAGAGGACGGACAGAAGGAGGGAGGGAGGCATGAGTGGCGAAGGAAAACAATACATCGGCCTCGCCTGTTGCTTCATTCTTGGTTGATATTGGCAAGGCTGAATTTAGCACTGGGGAATGTAATTTTTTTAAATAAGTCTAGATCTTCCTCAAAACTCAAAAAGGCCTATTTTTGAACTCTGAAAAAGAACATCAAGTTCTCTCCTCTCTCTGCGTTGGCAGGGTTCACCCAGTCCGTGATGCCGCTAAGGAAGCAGGAAGATGACGGCACACCTCCCGGGCCTCTGCGCTGCCCACTGGTCCGACGGGCTCAGGGCAGGCGCGGGGACCCTCGGGACGGGTGGGAGAAGCTGGCCCTGGCCCAGGACTTGGGTGCCGTAGAAGGGCTCCTGGATGAGCCACACCCTGACTCTCCCACAGTAGGAGCGTGGGGGCATGAACAGGACACTGGAAGTGGGGTGGGGCTGCCTCTGGATCAGGGGAGCCAGGGACTGCCACCTGTCCTTGGGGGTGGCCTGGGGGTTCATCCTTCCAAAGGGTGAGTCTCCCAACCCCCAATTCCTGCTTGGGTCCTGTCCCACCTGAAGAGTCCCTAAAGGCCAGCATCACATCCCTAACTGGGAAGGGGCAGCACCGATAATGGCAAATGCCTGCAGATGACTCCAGTGGCCTCTGAGCCACAACCCAGGGCCACATGCCAAGAATTTAGTGCTGTTGGAGGCCTGTCTGTTCATGACCCTGCGGTGACACTTCTCATGTTAAAATGTACATGCTTCTGTTCTCTCCTCCTCTCACATCCTGGGCTCGCCAAGAACAGGGACTGGATCTGATTGATTCACACAGGAGTTCAGTAAGGTACGCCGGCTCCATGAGTGATGAACGAATGCATGAATGGTGTGCAGACGTGAAAACCAATGAGCAAATGCAAGTTCTTGGGCCTTGCCTTACCCATGTCACACCTGAGCCAGTGTGACCCATCGGCTGGGTGTCCCCTACATGTTCCATCATCCCCAAATATCAAGCCTGATGCAGGTGCATCTGCAAAGTGAGCGGACTGGAGGGGCCTGCCTCCTGCCCCTGCACCCCCCCTTCACCCGCCCGTCCTCCTTCAAGGTCAGATGCACCTCTGGCCTCAGCTCCCCCACCCCACCGCCCAGCCAAGCCCCTGCCCTGTCCTTTTTCCGTGACAACATTCACTCTCACTTGTCATTCCACTTGGTTTACGTGGCTCTGTGAGGGCAGGAACCAGCTGGCTTTCTTAGGATACTTTCACCAGGGCTCATCCAGAGCCCGGACAGGGAGGGAGGCCAGGACAGTGGCTGCTGAGTGGATGGGTGGACCAGCCAGCGCACTGCACTTCATGGAAGCGCTCTGCTGGGGAGCTGAGCCGTGAAAGCTCGAGATGAGGCCCGCCTTCCTCTCCCTACTTTCCTCTCTCTAATGGCTTGCCCACACTGGGCTCCATCCACTCCCTCCCTGAGAAAGGCCAAACCACTCGCCCACGCTCCCACCCCTGCCTCTGGTGGGCTTGCCACACGCTGACCGCACTCTGACAGGATGTTCTGCCCCCACTGCCTCCACCTCTTGCAGCATCTTTGAAATTCTGAGCCACAACTCACATGCTGTCCCATGGTTCCACCTGGCCATTGGCCTCCCCTGGGGCCTGCCCCCATGTCCCCCACCCTCCAAACACCACTGCCTCTCTGCCCATGCCCCTGCTTTCATCGCCTCTCCCAACGTTCCTGTTGTCCCAGGTGACAGTGCCTGGTGTGGCATCCGGAGCCTTTCCTACTGTGGCCCTATCCGTCCCCAGCCGACTCCGTGAAACTTGGCACCCCCCCCGCCCAACATCTGTGTCCACCACGCCCCCAACCCTGAAGAGCTTTACCCACGTGGCACTGGTGGTGATGCTGCAAATGGGCCACAGAACGAAGCTGTTGGGGTTCAAACCCCACGGGCAAGGCAGGTGACCTCACTGTGCCCACTTCCTCCATCCATAAAATGGGGACAATAAAACTTACTTCCTAGGATTTGCTGCAGTCAATAAATAACCAGCAAGGCGTTGGGAGCAGTTCCCACAGCCCCTGGGGCGTGGTTGGTGGTCAGCAGACGTGCAGCCCCTCGTTCCCCAGAGGCGCTGCGGCACTTCAAATGGCTCATGCACGATGACAGGCACCGAGGTGAGCCAGTAAGCACTGGTGTTGGCTTACAGCTCCCTCCCCCACTTTCCGGACCTCAGAAGGGTATGGTGGCATGAACAGATAATTGTAATTAGTCATGCCAACAAAAATAAAGAGAAATAGTTTCAAGAAACCAACACAGAAACTCAGCCCAATATTGCAGTTCTGCTTTGGCACAGGAGCTGGCAGTTCTGGCAGTGTAGTCATCTGATAATCCTCCTGAGCTGACTGATGAGGGGAGTGATGTCACAGAGGGCAATGGGGGCGGGGGGGGGGCCAGGACAAAAACAGCTCCTGGTGAGTCGGTGTGCAGGCGCTGCACTGCGGTGCCCCCCACCCACCTCCTTGCTGCTCGAATTAACTGGAAGTCAAGGGGGATACCTGCCCTCCCTCCCAAATCAGGGAAATGGTTCGGTCAAAATATCTGCACACGACGTGAGATCTAATGTGATTTGTGTGGTTTTGACAGAACAAAACTTGAACTTCAGAGCAAACCAGTTGCATTTGCTGAGCTGTGTGCTGTCTCCATCTGGGCAAGATGCTTGCTGCTTTGGTACTTCACAGGGAAAATGAAAACCTTCCTCTCTCAGGCCTGCCGCCTTCTAGCCACTGCCCTCGGGCCTTTGCAAGTGTCCTGCCTCCTGAGGGAAAGGCTGTTTGGATTCGAGTCTATACACCAGCTCTCCACATTCACTCCCCGGGTCCCTGCAACCTGGCTCTGGCCTCCAACACCCAGGGTCACCCCTCCTGCATATTTGAGTCTTCTCACTGCCCCTCCCCCAGGGTCCCACTACAGATGACAGCCATCCCCCTTTCCGCTCCCCATCCCCTGTAACAAATGTTCTCAGGACTCATGCACAAGACCCATGAAAAGCCAGAGGATATGATGAGGCAGGACAGCAAGTCCACTAGGATTGGTGGCCTCGCCCAGCCTGCACCTCTGAGTCTCAGGCCAGCCCTGAACCCTCATTCTGTCTCCCTAGCTCTTGAGTAGTTTCTGCCCATTCTGATTCAGCCTTTCAATCCCAGCCCTTGTGTGGGTTACTGGCCCCCAGTGGGGCTGGCGTTGCCCATTTCAACTCCTCCTTCCACCTCAGCCAGGACACTTGTGGGCTGAGCCCCAGCCCCCCACTCCTGTCATGGCCTCTGCCTGGAACTGGACACTGCTAACGATACCCACACCTCTGTGCTAACCATGCCACAAGGACTCCGGTGTGGATCCCTTGCAGAACTCAGGACTTTCACGTAGGACCGTTCCCACCTGGGTGGCACACAGACACTTCAGAGGGAACTCAACATCCCCCCCACCCTGGGCCTGCTCCTCTCCCACTGTTATGGGCTGAATTGTATCCCTCCAATTAAAGTGCAATTAAAATCCATGCATTAAAGTCCCCCAGTACCTAGAATTTATTCCTGTATTTGGAGATGAGGTCTTTAGTGAGGTGATTAAATCCTAATGAGGCTTTCAGGGTAGGCTCTAACCTAATCTGACTGATGTCTCCATAAGAACGGAGAGGGACACCAGGAGCCACATGCAGAGAGGGGCGCAGATGTGGCCATCTCCAGAAGTAGGAGAAAGTAAATGTCTATTGTTGAAGCCACACAGCCCGTGGTGTTTCATTTTGGCAGCTCCAGCAGACGAACACCCCCCTTTATTAATGGCACCGCCATCCACTCAGTTTCTGGAGCTGGCAAGCCGGATTGGACTCGACTCTTCCCACCCTCACTGTCACTGCCAGACAGAGTCAAGCCCATCTTTCCTCTTGCCTGAGTCTCTCCCCACCCTATCCACCTGTCATCATCGGGGTGATGGCTAATAACCCCCAAGTCTGTGGGATAGAAAGGCCCCCCAGCCCACTGGCCGGGGGCACAGAGGTTTTATCTCTATTTCCCTTGTTTGGGTTTCAGATAATGAACTTCTATTCTCATATTCTTGGTTTGCTCTAGTTCTTGCTAGACAAAGAGAAAGCATTCATGCTGACATAAACCGTTCAAGGCTCCCTGCAGCTGGGGGTCAGCTCCTTCTGGAGGACACGCGGGAGCTTCTGGGATGCCTCTTACCTGCGATGTCGCAGAGTTCGGCGTCCGAGGCGTTCGCCAAGGCCTCCTCCAGCTCCGGCTCCAGCGTCACACTCTCCAGCACGGGGTCCATTGGCTTCTGCTTGGGGACCCAGACTTTGCCTGCAAACACACAAGTGCCTGTTACAGGGAGTGTGTGGCACTGGGGCAGACTCTGGTGACAACCTGGGTGACCATCCAGAGCCCTGTGGTCCCTCAGTGCTGACAGTGAGTCCCTCTGGGGACCCAGTGCCAAACACCCCCAAGAACAGGAATTGAAGACCTCCAATAAAGCAGCTTTCACCCTTGAAAATAAGACCCTTGTGGCTTGGCCAAACTAGACTGCTCACTACTGGATACACTGCTCATTAACGTACATGACCTTGTAGTAACGTAGGACATTTTCTATAGCAATGTAGGAAAAAGATACAACAGAAAAGCATGTTATCATGCCAGGGTCTGGGATACCCTAACCAAAGGTCCCTGATAGGAGAGAAAAATTTAGAACCATCTCTAAACAAAGTAAATAAAGTATACTCAGATTATTCAAAGTGGAATGGGGAGCAGGAAATGTGTCCTTGACTCATGGGGCATGATATTTTTATTTTTCAAAAATATTTATTTTTAGACAGAAGGGAAGGGAGGGAGAGAGAGGGAGAGAACATCAACGCGTGGTTGCCTCTTGTACACCCCCTACTGGGCACCTGGCCTGCAACCCAGGCATGTGCTCTGACTGGGAATGGAACCAGCGACCCTTTGGTTCACAGGCCAGCACTCAACCCACTGAGCCTCACCAACCAGGGAGGGACATGATATCTCTAAACTGTCAGACTCACAACTGAATGAGGGAGCAACGCGGCACACAGCAGCCCAGTCACTGTCGTGGCCCCGGTAGGAACGCCTGAAGAATGCTTGGGCATCCACATAAGCGAGGTCCCACTGTCCTTATAAAGGATGATGGAGATCTCCACTTACTAGGAAGGAAAACGTGAAGACAAAATGTGGCAAAAGCAAGTGTACGAAATAGCACGAGTTTCGACTGGTGTGGCTCAGTGGATTGAGAATTGGCCTGTGACCCTGAAGGTCACCAGTTCAGTTCCCAGTCAGGGCACATGCCTGGGGTGTGGGCCAGGTCCCCGGCCAGGGGCTTACAGGAGGCAACAGATCGATGTTTCTCTCCCTCTCTTTCTCCCTCCTTTCCCCTCTCTATAAAAATAAATAAATACATTTCTTTAAAAAGATAGCATGGTTAATTTAATTCCATGCCTGAAAAATGACATCTATATATTCATGCAATTGATATATTCATATAATTGATATTTTGCATTTCCTAGGTGCCAGGCACCTTTCTAGGGGTAGGGGAATTGCAATGAACAATTTACAATTTAGTGAAAGGAGCCAGATGACAAACAAGCATGGAAAGTGATGAGACAGTATTATGGAGAAAATAAAGCCGGGCAGATGACCAGGAAGTTCTAGGCTGGGGGCGGAGGGAGGCAGGCACGCCCTCCCAGGCTGGGCGGCCTGTGAGCTGGGAAGGCACGAGGAGGGAGCGAGCCGCCGAGACCAGCAAACGCAGTATTGCCGCAGGACCCAGCGAAAAGAACCGAAAACAGACATTCAGACGGACGCTTGTGCGTAGATGTTCGTAACAGTGCTGACCACAATAATCAAAAATGGGAAACAGCAAAAAAGTTCATCCTTGGGTGGAGGGGTCGAGAAGCTATAGAATATAACTTCGTCATGAAAGGGAATGAACGAGTCTTGAAAACCATGCGCTAAGTGAAAGAAGCCCCACACACAAAGTCACCCATCGCATGACTTCATTTATAGGAAATACCCAGCACAGGTAAATCCACCAAAGCAGCTGGCAGGGGAGAATGGGAGTAGCAGCCCGTGGGGTACAGGGTTTATTCTGGACCCACGAGAACGTTTTGGTTGTAGATAGCGACAGCGGCTGCACAACGTTGTGGGTGTACTAAACACCACCCAACTGTTCACTTTAAAATGGTTCATTTCATGTTACATGAATTTTACCTCAATAAAAACCAAAAACAGCCCTGCTCACTTTCACTGCTGATTGAGACCATCCAGAAGAGGGGCGAGGATGGAATCTGGGAGATAGCCGGGAGGCCCCGGCCAGGTGAGGGAGCCTGGTGACAGGGACCAAGGGGGATGATGGGACAGGTGGGAAGGGCCAGGAAGTGCAGAGAGAAGTGTCCAGGAGGATGTTCACTAACTGGGATCAGTGGACGTCTGTCAGTGGAGAAAAGACTTTGTTGTTTAAATTGTTCACAGCAAAGGTCAATACCTATATAAGCAGAAAACACAACAAAATCATCGAGGAGAAAAGCTGGAAAAGGACAAAACGTACAAAGAAAACAAAGTGGCTAAGATGAAAATCAGCTGTGAAGATGAGTGACATGGTGACAAGGAAGAACATTCAATAAATATGTAAGGCCTACGGTTTACTAGATCCCTGCAGCCAGTGCCTCCATGGAGGGTGGGGACTCTGAGACACCACAAGAAGGACTTGGACTTCTTCCCTTCTTTCATCTAATTAACTGGAATGGTGATGTGATGACGGGAGCTTCAGCAACCAGAAGGACCAGGAGGCAAGAAAATAGTGCAGGAATGACAGATTAAAAAACTGGAATGGGTCTTGATTCCTAATACCAGGCAAGATGCCTTACCAGCTCTGGACTGCCTGCCCCCGAAACTCTTCCAAGGGAACAAAAATTAAACTTCCACCTTGATTGTCTCTTTTCTTTTACTTTTTCCTCCTAGCAAATGCAGCCAAGTCTAATTCTAATGAAAATATACTGCATGGGTATTTTATTCTGATCCCCCGTTTGAATGAGAGTAGACAAAGTTCAAATTCCTCAGGATTTTGCACCAGCGTGTGGCTCCTACCACATTCTGTGGGGCCTTGAGCACTGGAGCACTGTTCCCTCCCAGCTGAGACCAGCTCTCGGCCCAGCGTCGGGTGGGCGCTCAGCGTGGGCTGGACTAAACGGCCCTGTGTCTGGCTGTTAGAGCCGGAAGGTGTTCCCCACACTTTCTGTTGAGAAACCCATGAATTCAGCCTGCAAGGACTCCAACAACCACCAGGAAATCCTTTCTGGCGATGGCACTGCTGGTGGAGATGACAGTGACAATGACGAACCCTTTAGGCTGATCATTGCACGGCAGTAGAACACAGTCTAGCTCCCCGCTAGGGTCAGCCTGACTCCCTCCCCCCCCATGAAGGCAGCCAGGCCCTGGGAGCCCAGGGCTCTGCTGCAGGCTCCGGGCCAGGTGGGCCTTCTCTGGAGGGGCAGGATTGGGTGTGTGCTGCCCAGATTCCCTTCCCCACCCACACCCCATCTCCAGTTCCTCCCCTGGGAGAGGGGTGGGTGCTCGAGGAAGGGACGCCAGCAAGGACTCACCCACCAGCTGTCTACCTGGGTCCGCCTCTGACTCTCTCAGCCTCGGCCTCCCTATTTTTCAAATTGGGCCCCTGGGATGCTGGATGTTTTTAAGCCTCACGAAACCCAGGGATTCTATCCTCTTTATCCGCTATACAGAAACCACTCCTCCTGGCTCAAGTGCCTTGCTTAAAAACATCTCGTGCCCACATTCTCAGCGGGCACACCTAGCCCTCAGGGTCAAGGCCCCAGTCAACCCCTTTCAGGGTGCCTCAGGTCACACGGGCCTTTTGGAGTTCTGTACGCAGATGGCCCTGGGCTTCCCCGACTCTCAGGTTTTCAGTACAACCTGCAGCTCCAACAACAGGGTTTGGGATGGCTCACAGTCCCCCCACCACCATGACGATGCCTGCTGGCTTTTCCGTTTTATTGCTTATCAAGCTGACGCTCTGGGCAGCGTATTGTGCTAATCCAACTGGGATGCAGAGTTAACGGCCACAGACCCAGACGCTGGGGCATAGGGAGAATGGGAGAGACTGGAAACAATCAGTTAGACAATTAACTAATAAACCCAACAAATATACATTGGGCATCTCCTTTGTGCTGGGGTTTATTAGGTGCGGATGTCACGAACAAGGCAGATGTGGTCCTTGTCCCGTGGGGCTTCTGTTTAAGGCAGTGGTCTGCGATTCATTATACGTTTATTTAATTCAAACTCATTCATTTTGTTTACTGGGCCCGGCTGTATACCAGGCCTTGAGCCGGGTGGTGAGGGTACTGTGTGAGCAAACACAGCCTGGGTCCCCGCCCTCGTGGGGCTCACAGGCCAGGGAGAGGCAAATGACGAGCAAAGAGACAAGGACAACGTGGGAATTGCCACGAAGGAAGCCCCAGGCTCCTGGAGTGGAGACTGGCCAAGGGGGAGCGGAGGGGACTGCACGTCCTAGACCAAGGAGACAGGCAAGGATTCCCTGAAAGGGGAAACAGGACAGTTCGGACCGAAGGGACTCTCATAGCTGCCACTTGCATAGCATTCCCCACGGGCCAGGTGCTGTTGCGAGTGCTCTCTACACATCTCACCTCTGTTCTTATAATTCATGATATTATTTTCATCGCCCCCATTCTACAGACCAGGAGATGGAGGCACAGTGGGTGTAAGAGTTTACTCAGGCTCACACAGCTAGCAAGGGGTGTGCCCGGGTTGAAACCAAAACACACCCAGCTGCAGGCTGCGTTTCCAACCATTGCCACTCACGGGGGAGGAAGACAGCTGAGCGGCGGGCAGCAGGGCCCGCGCTCCAGGCAGAGGGGAGTGGTGCCCGGGTCCTGAGGTGGAGGAGAGCAGGAGGCCTGTGAGGAAGCAGTGCGCCAGGCAAGGGCAAGCAGGATAGAACAGGGTAGCAGAATGGTTTGGAGAGCAACAGAAAGTCCCAGAAGGGCTCCGTGTTCCCCAGACACTTCTAGAAGGCTTGCCTTACACTGGGGCAGAGTTGTGGAGGGACAGATGAAGGAAGAAATAACACAACTGCCAGAGAAATAAACTTCTGGGAGACAGCAGGGATGCTGAGGATACAGACAGGGTATCTCTTGTTCTTGGTTTGCACAGGATGGGCCTTATTTAGGTCTCGTGTCCTGATATCATGATTGATAATTCTCTCACTTTCAAAACTGTCCATGTTTGTATGAAAAATAAGCAGGACATTCCAACTAAAGGGGATTGAAGGGGAAGTTTTGCTGGTCTGGTTTACCCAAAAACTTCCCTAAATCTACATCTTTGATGCTTTGCAGTTGGGTTGATGTTTTGGGGCCGGGCAGGGATGCGAACAAGGAGGCCGGTCACACCAGGCCCGGCACAAAGCCCGGCACGCAGCTGGCGCTCAGAGAGGCCTGGGGGTGTGATATATCCATAAGAGCAACAGTATTCGGTACCTCGCTTTTCCCCTGTGTAGGGGACCAGATCTTCTCGGTCCTTAAACTCCTTTGCTTGCTTTTCCAAGTGATCCAAGAGCTCCTCCCTTTTAAAGGGGCCCGTGGGCGCCTTGGTGGTCTGATCCTTCTGCCTCAGGCCTGCAGGCAGCAGTGCATTCTACAGTGGAGGCGGTGGCCCGGGTGACAGAGAGAGAGAGAAAGAGAGAGAGAGAGAGAGCCGTCAGCTGCTGAAGACATGCATTTCTCCAGAAACTCATCATCGAACAGCTGGGCTCAAGTCACTCGTTTACATGGAAGGAATCTAACACCTGAAGGGGCAGGGACTTGTCCAGGGTCACACAGCAGAGGGGACTCAGAGCCAGGCCTCTTGATCCCCCTGTGTTTCTCAGCCTCTAATGTTTTTGAAGGCGAGGGGGTGAGGGGTCAGCCAACATGGGGCTGAGCACAGAGCGACACTCCAAGAGCATCCGCTGAGTGACAAGATTAAGTTGGTGTTTTGATGCAGGAGGATATTTATAGCTGTTGTGTATAAAGTTATGGGGAGAGAAGAAGGCCAAGGCGTTTGAGTTAGAGCCCTGGAGGCAGAGTCAGGCAGGAGGAGGCAGACGCAAAAAAGACAAGTGGGTAAAGGCTCAGCAGAACGGCGAGGTGGGCGAGGCGAAGGAGGTGGGCAGGTGGGCCAGGTGGGCGAGGCGGCAAGGCAAGCTTTCAGGCTGCAGCCTGGGTAGGCCCGGCCAGCTGCCTTCTACCCTCCCGACTGTCCGAGCTCATGCCATGCTGGCTGTTAAATATTGTGAACGTTGCCCCTGGAGATGAGTCTCTGAAGAAAGATAGCATCAACCAATCACTGTGGCGTCTCCTTCAAACATGGGCAGGCTTCTAGGTGAGGGCTTCCTCCTAAAGCAGATTCCTAATTAGGGTGGATTCGAATCCCACAGGCTTTCCTTCACTCAGTCCCCAGTACCTTAGAGATACTTGCAAAGATGCTTAGAAATTGGTGCATGCACCCTTCCTTCAAGGGGAAACCGAGGCCCAGAGGGAGGAAAAACTTTGCCCAAGGAGTTTCAGGGACAGGTCTGGAACAAAAGCCAGGGTTCTTTAGATTTGAGGGGAGGAGTGAAATCTTCAGTTCTAGTCATTACTCTCTCCCCCTTTCACTCCAAGAGGTGGTGGAGGATACCTGAGAGGCAGGTGTGAGCAGAATCCCACCTAGCTTCCTGCCACGCCCCCAAGTTGGCAAACTGGACGCCATTCCATCTCTTCCTCCCTTCAGTCACTCAGCCACTTGCCAGCCCCTTCCCGAAAGCCCCAAGGGAGGGAAATGACGTCACGTGTATGAGGACAGCTACGTGCACAAAAGGGACAGGGCGGGGGTGGGGTGTGGGGCGGGGGAATACAATGGTTAAACTGCAGTATGAGTTTTTTTTAAACAAGATATTTCACCACTGCTTGACACCACAGTGCCGGTGAGAGCAGTGGCTGCAAGGTCAGGGGACCAGCGTGTGACTGCAACTCTGGGAGAGCGGAAGGGACCCAGGCCTCACTCTGTGCACAGCCTGTGGAAGGGGCTCTGAGACCGTGTGTGAGGGGCTCCCAGTGTGTGTGGGGGCTCGAGAGTGGTGCTGGTGTGCATGCAAGTGGATCTGAGCCCCAGTCAGGAGAGACATTTGGGGGTTGGAGCATGTGACTCGAGGAGAGAGCCAACAGGGAGAAAATGTGCCTTGACTGATTTGCAGGTGAATGTCAAGAACATAAGCGATGTCACAGACATCCCAGCTTTCTGTAAGCAGCAGTCCTCTGACGCTGTCCACTGTGTTCTGTGGGACAGGTGATGGTCCCAGGTGAGCCAGGCATGTGTGGGCATGTCCAGGGGAGAAGGGCTGTCCTTCTCCCCCTGTGGCAGGGCACCGTCTCTCTGTGATTACCCATCACGAGCAACCAATGCACTGTGATGCGCTGCACCTCCCAGCTGAGCCCCATCAGGCGTGTGCCCGACTTGGAGCAGTGATGACTCCTGCGCCCCTGGGCCAGCTGCCCCGTCTCATTGCGCTTCCATTTCTACAGGCTGAGTGTGAGTGTTAGTTACTCTCAAAGTTGTTGAGAAAATTAAGTTAGTGCTAAGCACCCATAACTACTTATTATAACTGTTGTTCTGTAATCAGAGGAGAAACATTTTAACAGGAGATTGGTGATCTGCACATGTATGTTGAACAGAGGATGAATTATCCAAATACGTCTCAAAAGTAAAAAAGTGAAAATATACAAGTAAAAAAGAAATTAAGCAGCAAACACAAGTGTTTTTCCAACAATCCTCACAAGGAAAAACCGGACAGATTTTTGTCTGTAAGAGGTCGTGACGGAAGTTAAGGTTCTGGGGCGCATTCTAGCCTCTGGAAGGCTCAGGACCGGGAAGGAAGAGAACCAGGAGGCTGTTGATGACAGGAAAGGACCTGCAAACTCACGTCTCTTCTCGAATATGCCCTAGAGAAGCCACTGACTGAGTTAAAGCAGGGTTTTCGACCTTGGCACAGTGGGTGGTTGGGGCTGGGTGACTCCCCACGCCCGGCGGCTGTGCTGTGCGTTGCAGACTGCTCGGCAGCATCTCCATCCGGTGGAGGCTGGTACCCCCACCCCCTACAGTGTAACAAACAAGAATGTCTCCAAATATTGCCAAGTGTCCCTTGGGGAGCAAAGTCACCCCTGACTGAGGACCACTGTGTTGAACTAGAGCCCATATTATTCTAAGAGGAGAATAAAGATGGTTTTAAATTTTTCAAAAATATTCCTTTATGTAGCATGTTAAAATATGGCTTCATTTATGGAAATCTTTACTGAAAGCAGTTGATTAAAAACAAAAACAAAAACATCAAAGGCCTTCTCTAACAATTCTTAGCTTATACAGTTCTCATAGTAAGTACTGAGAAAATTAGCCTCGTTAGAAGTTAATCTTTTTCCGGTAAATATGTTCAATAAAACATCACATGATTTTCAATTAAAAATCAAAGATAGTCGCATATTTTCTAAACTCCTGATTATTTTCACAAATGGCATGTGACCTCACAGGGTACTACAAAAACTAACTCCAAATGGATCAAAGACCTAAATGTAAGAACTAAGATTATAAAACTTTTAGAAGAAAACACAGGCATAAATCTCCATGACCCTGGATTAAGTACCATGTCTCTTAGACATGCTGCTAAAATAATAAGCAACGGAAGGAAAATAGATAAATTCGACATTATCACAATTAAAAACACTGTGCTTTAAAGGACACTATCAAGAAAGTAACAAGACAACACACAGACTGGGAGAAGTTTTCACAAATCACATGTCTGATAAGGGTCTGGTATCCAGAACACATAAGGATCTTTTACAGCTCAAAACATAAGACACATAACCCAATTTACGATGGGTGAAGGATGTGAATGGACATTTCTCCAAAGAAGACGTAAAATGGTCAACACACACATGAAAAGATGCTCAACATCATTAGCCATCAGGGAAATGAGCATCAAACACACAAGAAGATACTGCTTCCTACCCACTAGGATGGACAACCAATACTGGCAAGAATGTGGGGTGGCTGGAACCTCCATTCCCTGCCAATGCGAATGTAAAGTGGTGCAACCCCTTTGGGAAATAGTCTGGCCCTTTCTCAAAAGCTTAAACATGCAGTTACCATCTGATGCTGCAATTCTACTGATATATATATATATCTGAGAGAATATGCCCGAATATGCCCGAGAGAAGCCACTGATTGAGTTAAAGCAGGGTTTTCAACCTTGGCACAGTGGGTGGTTGGGGCTGGGTGACTCCCCACGCCCGGCGGCTGTGCTGTGCGTTGCAGACTGCTCGGCAGCATCTCCATCCAGTGGAGGCTGGTACCCCCACCCCCTACAGTGTAACAAACAAGAATGTCTCCAAATATTGCCAGGTGTCCCCTGGGGAGCAAATATATATGTGGGGAGTATATATATATATATATATATATATATATATATATATATATATCCAAGAGAAATGAAAGCATGTGTCCACACAAAATTCCTCCAGTTCATGGCAGCATTATTCATAACAGCCAAAAAGTGGAAACAACTCAGATGTCCATCAAACAATGAATGGATAAACAAACCATGGTATCCATACATCCGAACACTACTGGGCAATAAAAATAAATGAAGTTCTGAGACATATTACAACATCAATGAAACCTTGAAAACATTGTGCTAAGTGACAGAAGCCAGACACAGAGGACTATGGTGTCGGATTCCATTTGATCGAAATGTCCACAGTGGTCAAATCTATAGAGGCAGAAGTAGGTTGGTGGTGCCTGGAGTGGGGGAGGGGAGGGGAAACGAGGAGTCACAGCTAATGGGTATCGAGTTTTTTTCCTGAGGTGATGGAAATGTCCTAAAATTCATTGTGGTAATGGCTGTAGAACTGTGAATATACTAAAAAACAATGAGGTGCACACTTTAAATTGATGAATTTTATGATACGTGAACTATAGCTCAAAAAAGTTAATAAAAACAGCATATGTTATGTAGAAGATGGCTCATGCAATAAAACACAAAGTGATTTGCCTGTGAGGACAGAAGCTCTCTGTGTGCCGGTGGCCAGCAGGGATGCTGAGAGCGGCCGGGTGAGAGCTGGTGTGCAAGGGTGTCCTGTTTCATGACGCGATGTGCCTTATTGTGCGAGTTAGTTGCTGAGGAGTTAAATGGGTGAGAAAACATTGCCTTGAATCTCTCCTAACTGTCAGAACCTAACAGCGACCCTCAGACCCAGGTATCCGATGGGAGAGGAAAGGGTTCACACGACTGGGGGAGCTCCGACCAGAAGGGTATTTGGGGAACGTGTATGTGTGGAGCTGTACCTCATTCCTTGAGCAAGTGTCCATGGAGTGGGTGCGGTGTGTCCAGGCGGCCCGCTGACAGCTGGGGCCGGAAGCCCACCGAGAGCTCTCTGATTTGGAACGCCCAGGGAGAGGGGAGGCGAGTGGGGCAAGCAGACTAAAGTGGGGGGAAGTCCCACTGACAGCATGTGCGGGGAGACAACGTATTGTTTTAGACTTTACGGCCAGTCGAGATCCTCGAGGCGGGTCTACTTTACTGAAGAGTGAGGAATAGTCCGTGACTGGCCTCCACGTTGCCTGCC